ATTGGATCAGAACTCACTCAAAAATGTTAATAATAAACCGATTAAGGCAGGTAAAGTGCGCAGAAAAATACTGGCTCGTCTGTTGCTTTTTGTCTCAGCGGCTTAACGGTATACAGGCGCGCCCGCGATGACCCGTCCATTCTGGTAGGCGGTAATGACTTAGTTAGGCCGTGTTGCTGCGCATACGCGGCTGAAGCTCAGTCGTTAGGGCATACTACACGACCGGGGGCAGGCGTGACTCACGTAAGCCTTAGATGATATGGCCCGTGACAGTTGCAGCTAGCGTGGACGGATGAACAGGTGAACACCTTCGCATCCTATGATGTAGGGTAATGATTTGAAAGGATATGGACTCTTTAATGCAATTGAGCGTCTTGGGGCAGGAGCGACAATCGGCTTATTCAGAACTGGGGCGTGCTTTGTGAAGGAGTTCTGTCTGATTAATAACTCTGCATTATAAAGTATAGGGCTGATAATGAATTCGCAGTGTGGCAGTCAAATGGGTTTTATTCTGTTTTTATGAAGTTATTAAACTGACAAGAACATGTTTTTATCCTGTATGCAAAGAACATGTTGCTTTGGCATATAGCATTGAACGCTATTTTCTGTCCTTTTCAGCAATACCGTGTCATTAGTTTTTTGAATTTTTTATGTTGTGTTTCATTAATTTTTATGTACGGGCCTGTCATTTCATAATAGTATAATATGTAAGGTCCTCGTGGACAAAACGGATAGTTTCCCGCTATATGTATATTTCAAACTCTTGTGCCAAAGTAATCATGGTTTTAACTGCTTCTCTTGTGGCTTGTACAGGCCAGGAATACAAGGCTTTCGTTATTAACGATTGTTTCGATACTATTCTTTTTGTTATTGTTGTTCTGGTTGCTATTAAGAGAATATCGTTGTAGTATTTGCTCAACGTTGTGTTAAGTTGGTATCGCGCATTTATTTCATGTTATATGTTTAACAGGTTTTTGTGTTTCTAGACAATAAATGTTTTTATTTTTGTGCCTTTTCTAAAATAATTTTTTGGTGAAAATGTCTATATAATCAGCTGGACTTTAAGTTTGTTTCTAAGTGGCGTATTTAAATTAGTTGGTCTCCTGTTATCCTCTTTGAAAAGATGAGAACACACATGGCAAGTGGTCCGCATCTCTCTATATTATTTTTTTGATGTCAATATCTTTATTCATATTAGTTACAGATCAGAGTCTTTGTCTTGCCTGGTATGTTGGTACTGTGGTTGAAAGAATGCAGATGCAGTGTGGTATAAAATGATGTAACGTAGTATTGCTCAAATGTGGTACTTGAGACTAGAGGTATATAAATGTTTATAGCTGATAGGGTAGTGGACCTGTCGGTATTATCTATTTTTTCTTGTTGTCATCTTCTCATCTTTTCTAATTAGCTTGAGTTATATTGTTGGTTTTATCTTGTGGATAATGTGCGTTGTACTGTTTCCTTCGCTCTATCTTGGTGGTTTTTTGGTATTTTAGATTGTGTGTTCAGGTGTGACTAATACGTTTGGTCCTGTTGGCTCGGTTACGCTGCATGTTGGCTGGTTAAGGTTGGTTGAGAGAAGTCCTGCTCTTATTTTTTCTCATTCTCATTCGCCTGTGCTGGGCTGGTCTACGCGCAAGTTATTTTTAGTTGCTATGTAAGTGTTTGATTTTAGTTCTACTGGGTGAGTCTTGATTCACGCTCCTCGCTGAGCGAAGCAGAGCCGCCAGTGCTGCTCTGCATTTACAGTTCATTAGACCTGGAACGGCACTCTGCTTCGTAAAGATTGGTCAACAAGATGTCCATACTTAGAAGCTTATGTCGCCCGCCCGGCTTTAGGTCTATCAATGTAAAGGTGTCAGAGCTGGGCCTAGCGGCCGCGTGTTCCGCCAGTGCCGTCTTGCCGTCATTTGAGCGCGCCTTCATGTCAGCTCGGGGACGGCCCTGAAACGCCGAGCCGTCCAAGAAATATAATATTTCGAGAGCAGAATCGAGAAGTTTTTATTGCTGTGAATGAGCCGGAAAAGGAAAAGAGACAAGGACATCCCTCTGGTTGGAGGGGGCAAAAGGAGTCTGGTGGGATAATTTTCCGGAGTATTGAAGAGGGCGTGTTTGCGCCCACACATCGAAGGTGGCCTGCTACAGGAGCAAGCAAGGAGCGTGGCGCGATTTTGCGCGGCCGATGCAGCGGCAGGTTCTGTTTTAGTGGAGCACACGCGGCGTGGAACTCCGCGAGCACCCGGAGGCCATCGGGCAGCGGCGAACTGAGGC